CATTTCGACATAATCTACAGAACAATATTTTTTAAAGACCAAATGTTGATAATTATCATGTTTCGAAGCATTCGGTAGATTTCATCTTTTCCTCATATCTTCTTCAAATTCATTTAAATTTCATCTGTTTGCTCTATCGAAGTATTTTCATGGTATTTTTATTCTCGTATCTATTCCACGCGCGCAAGAAGTTATCGATCTTTCAGTAAAAATTTGCTCAATACAAAATTAGTAGCCTGTCACTATCGACAACCAATCCGCACGTCATATTTTATATATACGAATATTTCTTATTACACAAATTACACAGATCTCAGTATCTGCTTGGAGACACGTGGCCAATGGATGGCGTTCATCGTGCAATGCCTACAGCGTGCCTTCCTTCAAGCGCGTTGCCAGGTACAAGGGTAGCGCGGAGAGTTGCTTGCGGAACGGATGATATATTATCGGGCGCTGTTTGCACTTTGACAACATCGCCGGGCATAAAAACGCTGACTCATTTAAAGCGGCCCCCGGGATTGCGCGGCGCTTCGGGAGGATCCGCGTGCCACCTCCCCCTGCCTCTCTCCCTTCGGCCTCGAGCCCTCCTCTCTTTCGATCCTCCGGTGTTCCAGCCACCCACCCGACCTCCCTTTTCCGTTCCGGCGCAAACCACCACCCCAATTGCACCCCGTCGTTCTTCTTCCCACCATCCTCGCTTTGTCCACCGGCTCCTCGTCCCAGCTTCCACCGCATCTCGGCCCCGCGACTCTCCTGCAGGTCCCACAAACCTATCCAGCATCTCGTGACTCTCTTTTCTTCCGCGCCAACGGCAACCGGACTCATCCTTCGTCCGCTCTCCCGCCTTCATCCCCCTCCCCCTCTTCACGACCTCGCTCCTTTCCCCGCGTTACCGGCAAACTGCTTCCAACATTTCCCATGACCTGCTCTTTCTCTCGCTCTCTTTTCTTCAGGACTTCTCCTTTTCCTCTTGAAGAGCTCTTGAAGCGTCGACGAACGGTCGTTTATAATTGCGATTCTTCGCATAATTTGTATTAAGGCTAATTAATTGCAATGGCTTGTATAATTCAGTTCACTACCCTTTTTCCCCGTTGCTTGCTCACAATCACGGGTGTTCACTGTGGTTTTGGTATTAAGGATTATCATTGGATTAAATTTGCGGCGTCGTCGTTTCAACAAGCGAATTCGTTTATGCGTTTCCACATTTGTTACGCATTGCTCATTGAGTTATTGGAAGAAAAACAAAAGACGTTGACTTTGTACATTGATCCAAACCGATCACGCATAGATGTCTTACGCTCTTTAGCTTCCAGGATTAGGAATCTTACGCAAAAGTTGATAAGTAGGATGGGGTGAAATGTGGGTCGCAAAGCTCCCTCGAGTGGATTCAGTGGGGTATTCAATGGGGTAAATGGGGTATTGCATATTAAATACGCAGATAGGGGGCTATAACGGTAAAGGGAGGAAGCAGAATAGCTCAGGATTTGAGAGGAACGTGTGGAGCAATGTGTGTAAGCTTGATGCGGTTATTGATTACGGGCCACTGTCATTGACGACCCGTCATATGGAAACGGTGACCGTTTTTCGTCACGCACACACCGATATGTGCGCACGTGCACGTGCATGGACACTTTGGAATTGTGAAAAAATTCTGTTGTATTCTAATCGTTTATTAAATTAGTTCTCTCGGTTATCGATCAGACGTTGCATTCGTCGACAATAGCGACTTAATGTGCTGAAACTATTTTGGAATTGTTTATAATCTCGAAACGATATAACCTCAAAACCAATTAGTGTTTCGGCATTTTCAATAAAATATTTGTTGAAATTGATAAATAATCTGATGCGATTCGTAATCGTTTGTACGGAAAAAAGTCTGCGTTGTTATAATTAACGCAAGCTGCAATAGGTAGAAAGTCGGAAAGAAATAGAGCGGGAGGCTCGACGACGTATGTCTCCAAAAGCCGCGGAGCTCAGCGTTGAGTGATCGCCGCTCAGTCGACCTCGTAACCGGCGCCATATATCATTCAAGATGGCTGACATCTCACGCTGTTCGGAGAGAGACAAGGGTGACAACTCTCCCGTCTCTGCTTGCTACTTTTGACTGGCTACGTCTACGCCTTCGCTGATAATCGTGTTAGAGAGATATCAATCTTAAATCGATGGTTTTCCTCTGGTGCAAACTGTATTAGTATACACCCTTCAATTAATATGATTGCAATAAAATTGTACATTAATAAAAGTTGCGCAAACTTTTTTATTATATCACAAAAGTTATATACACGGTAAAGAGTATTTGAGAAAATTACACGTTATGAAGCATATACGACTCATTAATTATGTTATTAAAGTATCTCGTTTATGCAGAATAACAAAATATAAATAATGTAGTAGTTTAAAATACAATTACAACATATAATTATAGTTTTCAATTTGTAATTTCAATGGCGAATGGATCAGTTAAAGCATACGTATTAGGAAGTAAATATAGAGCGCACCATTAATTCTTCCCGTGGAAATTCAATATAAGGCTTCAATATTCAAACTATGCATGCCCTGTATCTATTTGTAATCCTGAGATAATGTCAGTATTGATCGATTACGTTGTATAAATAATTAGAGGACTATTAAAAGCCAATCAATTTGCATTCGTGGATTAACCACATGGATAAATAAACTAATCAAATAATTGAATGGTCAGAGAAAGTGAGCTTTAGGTTCATTTATGGATTTAAATTTATATGAACAATGCAATTACATATAGTAATACTATCCAATTAGCACAATTTAATCTTACTCATACATTTACATACATGTTATTTAAAGAAAAAGAAATCACAGATATTAATTTCAGAAAAGAAAAATAGTAGTCGAGAGAGAACTATCTTTTTCAGTACCATCTATCGTCTACAAATGTGCTTTAATATGAAATGTCCCATAGGTCGGTAAACTAAATTCCTTCGCAGTAAACTACCTTATTAGCGTCAGGTTTATCCACTCTAGCGAGCTAGATTAATCCAACTATTTTCTTCTTTTGGTGCAAAGAGTAAAAAGAAAAGTAAAATATAGCAATTGTCAAATTGAAAGGAAAGATAATTATGAAAGTTCTGTAAAATTAAATTAAATTAAAATTATGGTATGGTTGCTTAGATATCCGAAATGATCATAAATTCGTTGATTGAGATCTGAACCGTTGTTAGTACAGTTAGTAAAGAATTAACGAGGAATCGTATCGAATTCTCTTCTGTTGTTTTCTTTCTATTATTGCTGCTATTATTATAACTCAAGGATTAACTATTCGGATAACATAAATATGTTCATGAAGATAGTCATGTATCAAAAATAATATTTAGAATTCAGCAATTGTCTTTCTTTAATTTCTCAAGAAAATTATATATAAACAGATTTGGAACAATGACTCATTTGTTCTTTGAGCTTTTGTTAAGCGATGCTCGACTTATTGTGCTCATTTTTCAATTTCTGTACGATCCTGCTATTTCCTGCTTTCCGTTTCCAAGCAAATTATGTTAGCAGGACACCTGGGTGGAAAGGTAAAGGACGGCAACTTTTGAATTGTGGTCGTTTCATAGATACCTGGATATCCTGAATGCTACCTATTTTATACAGGTCAGGGATGAATAACTTGTATGTGTGTGTATAGAGTCTACAAGTCAACTCTATCTCGGTCTACCAAACAATATTGTAGATGTATGCAGAAATTTTTCTATTAAAATACGATAATCGAAAATTTATCGATGATATTTTCATCAAAAATTTATCATGATACTTTCAAATTGTAAAGTTTCTGGCGCAATGGGATCCGTGCCTTGCCCGAAAGGTGGCGTAAGGTCATAGCAAGTAAAAGGAGATCTTTTATAATTGAACATATATGTATCTTTTTGGAAATTAAGTTCAGATTTTAGAAAAAGATAAAAAGAATGTTTGCATACGCTCAATAGATATATATATCATATGCACATTTCAAATTGTAAAATAATATCTAATGTAATTTTTGATATATTATTAAATAAGAAAACTAAAGAATGTTTTGCCTATGTGCTCTTTTTAACGTTTAGTAAGAGTGACATTTCAACATTTGGCGTTTCTTTTAAAAATAATGAATGTTTAGACTTTTAAAGTTCCGTAGAGAATTAAAATGGTATAAATGCGTTTTGCAATATTGCACTATATATAAAATACTATTTTTCTCTTCTAAGCGTTGTATAATGTGAAATAAATATCGAGAAATTTAAGAAAAGATAACTGTATATACTGTAACATATAAATTGAATATGATAATATTATTATTTTCCGCAGGATTATCGAAAACTAGAAGCAGTTCGGCGTTTATGCTGTCTCGAGCGGAGAAGCTAATATATTCTTGGAAGCAATATTCAGTATATATTTCTAGAAGGAACGGCTAGCTTTTTATAAAGACAATATAGCCCGTCTATCTATCATACACTGAAGTAATATTGGCATGCCCATCGGATGTAATATTGAAATTGTACTTTTTGCAATATGAAAGTTATTTATGAAACGTAGTAGGCAATATAGGAAACATGCAAGGATGGTGTCGGCATCTGATGGTAGCGTTCTGATATGATGTGATGTGATGCGAGGAGGATCGTGCTCGTTGAGATATATAATGCATGGATAAAATGCTTCGACGTATGAAACGTCTTGCAAAATAAATTATAAAAATTTGCAAGGTAAATCGACAGAGAATCTTTATTTTTTCATATTTTTTCATAATTATATTCTTCTCTCACGTTGTGTTTGCAGTGTTAAAAGTTTTCATCATTATTTTAAATCCTCTATTTATTATCATCGTTATTTTAAGAGTTTTTTTCTTTTTTGTTGTATTACGCTTACGTATTGCCTTTATATTTCTTGTTCTATGAATGATCAGACATATAATTTTTTATTACGTAACAAATTTTATTTATATCAGTACGTAGTATAAAACACGACGACATTATTTACGTGATCGACTTTCTATAAAATCTCTTCCTATTTTGTAAAATAGCTGTAGCAACGTGTAACGTGTACGGTTAGAGCCTACCGAAGAGACAGCTGTTCGACGGTTGGCTGCGCTATTCGATTGTCTCGCTCTTGATGATTGATGATCGTTCGGGGTAACTGTGCTGCCATGCCTTGACTCTGTCTTTTCCCTCTTTTCCTTTCAACTTTTTCGTTTTCCGGACGATTTTAGTGCAACGTATCGGGTTGACGCATAACGTTGAGTTCTTTTTTTGGACTCGTTAAGAAAAATTATGGGAATAAGGTGACTCGCATAAATACAACTGACAGGATATCGCTGAACTTGCAACTAAAAGAAAAAGGTACAAGAGTATGAGCAATCGCCTCCCGCGGTATACAAAGTGAGAGAGTAAATTTATATACAATAGATACAGATAATACAAATAATGTCTAATTTTATAGTAACACGCAGAGGAATGGCGAAATAATAAGAATGTATAATTCGCGAATGCTGCGACGCTGTTGCATTCAATCAACAACAGATCGAGCTGTCAATGCCACGGCTCTTGGAAATTTTTCACCGGTGCATTTTCCTGTCCGTCCTACCCGCTTCTTTGTCGCAATCTTTCTTCCACGCATATCATCATGCGGTCGAATTACGAGCTTTTAATTACGTGTTTGCGGTGAGGATCAAAGCGCTGATGAACGCCTGTGCATAAAAACAACACGTTGCAAGGCATCGCGACCGAAGACATCAGTAACGCGGCAGCATCGTATGCGACACAGAGGCGATATCTCTCTCGTCCCAACCCCTCGTATTTCTCATCGCCGAGCTGCCCTACCCGGCTACCATCACGACGGATTCGCCGTCTGCTACTATCTCCGTCCATCCCTCGTTCCCCATCGTCGCCCCTGTCTCGTCCGACGACTACCGGAGCTGCTCTCGTCATTAGGCCAACGAGATTTTATTAAACTGCTCCTCCGCGCGCATAGGAGGCATTTTGTTCTCTCGCTTTCTCCGTTTCTCTATCTCTTTTTCTGCCCCCATCCATCCCTCTCTCTCTCTCTCTCTCTCTCTCTCTCTCTCTCTCTCTCTCTCTCTCTCTCTCTGTGTCTCTCTGTCTTTCTTCCTCTATGTCTCGCTCGCACCTTGCAGTTATTACATGCAAAGTGAAAAAGTTGCCCATCGGTCTGACCATTATTTCACTCGTTGCTCGCGCACTTCTCCGCGGGCCAGCCTCCTCTCATGTGCGTGCGCGCGGTACTTATGCGAGCTCCTGAGTGTTCTCTTATTACCTTTTTGACTTCTCGGGGTCGGCGTGAGCAGCTTCATGCCGCGTGTTACAAATTAAGTTACATAAATTCACGCGTGTATCCAGATATTACGGACCGTGCGCGCCATACCGCGGCTGATTCCCGAGGGCTAATTTCCTGCCGGCCTTTCCTACAGAAACGCGATATCCGGCGTTTCGTTTTGCTCGAATGAGAGCCGCAGATGAAGGGCCCCGTACCGTTGCCAATCGAATTTGACGTCTCGACCGAGGAGATCTCCACTTTGTCTCACGTTGTAATACGTATTATCTACGCAAACATCGGCGCGACGCTTTGCGCTAATCGCTCAATCACTGCTCACACGTTACAATTGATCGCGATTCTTTATTTTCGCAGTGCAAAGGGATTTGCGCATTTGTAATAATTAAAGAGAGAATTTGTGTGCCGCGTTTAAAAATAATGAAATAACAAATAATTAATTAAAAATTTACAAATAATTCACATAAATAAACAATTCAATAGATAATATACAAAAATAATTCACAATTTATATTTCGAGATATGTATAACACAAACGAATAAGAGAGACTCACCGCAATTTCTCCATTGTCGCGTAGCTCAATTTCGGATGTACGGTCATCGGGCGCTTCACAAACTTGTACGTAGCACAAAACACAAAAAGGATAGCGCGTTACATTGAAATCGTAGCTTTATCCGCGGAAAACTCAGAAATTCGTCTTACGCCTATTGCGCAAATAAGCCAACTGAAAACGCATTGACATCGCAAGTCACCAGACTGAGAGAGGGAGCGTCGGAGAGGTGGCGGAAGAAGAGAACGAGCCTGGTGCTGAATGGCGCCCTACCTGGTCCCCGAAGTCATAAATCATTCCCCCGCGATACTACCCCTCGGCGTTTTCCTGCACCATAACACCGCTGATCGGCGAACGGTCAACATCACCTGGAGCGCATCATGAAGAGAGGACCTTGGCCGTTTTTCGCGAGGAAACCTCGAAAATAAGATATTTTATACGAAGACAGGTATTATATACATAAAATATTTACTGAAGCATGATTCTCTTTCTGGTCATAAAACTTCGAGATATGTCTACGGTACACTTTTGTCAGTGATATCAACAGGAGAAAACTTTGTTTTCTCCTACTTTCCTCCTTTCTTCTTTGGGACCATTGTTTATATGTGAACAAAATATATTGCTGCTTTTTGTGAATAATTATTGCAAGTGATTTAGTGCAAATGTGAAATTATGATTATTCGCTATGACTTGAGTAATTTGGCATTTAATAATGTAATGAAATTTCTCTATCTCTTCATATATATATATATATTTGCTATTGATATTTTTCAATAACATGATATGTTTGAAATTTGTGAAGAAAGAGAGAGAGAGAGAGAGAGAGAGAGAGAGAGAGAGAGAGAGAGAATTTAATAAAGAATGTAGGTAGATATCTTAAAGAACAGAATTGTCTGTTGCACATCAAATTAAATTAATAGGTGGTTGTTATTAGGTGGCATTAAAGCCGGGTTTTCTTGATGAGAGACCATAGATTTCAACAACACAGATTCAGAATGATCTCCTTTATTGCATGGTAGCTTAATTAGTTATATTTTGGCTTATATCCTATACAGGCATGCTTGTATCTTGAACTGAAGAATATCATCACTTTCCTTTTTTCTTTACGTTTTACTGAGAATTTTTATCGACCGGAACAATTAACCGCCAATTAATTATATGTTATTTTCACGTGCAATATGGCTCAATTATATCGAGATTTTCTGTTTAATATCAGTATGTAATTTTAGAAATAATAATGTATTTATCGAGTTGTGAATATATATATATATATTTATAAAAGAAAATGTAACTATAAATGTAATACAATCACATATGAGATATATTCTAATTTTGAGGTAAACAGAGTTTAATTATAATTATAAATGAAAAAAAGATGATCTTTCCAATATACAAGGATGTTTAATTCATAATATTGATTTTATGAATTCATGACATTAATTTTATAAATTCTTAAAACATATATTACATGTTTTATGATAAATTATTATTATTATAAATGTTTTTATTGCTACTAAAAATTATTTAACGTAAATTCGCGAAAAGTAATATATTTATAAATTATATTATGAATAAGTGTATAGAAGACTATACATAAAAAATATATAGTTTTGGGATTTGACAGCAACAAATTTTTAACTGCTTAAGAAATTAAGAAATAAGCTTAAGAATAAGCTTCGTAACGTAGTTAATGCCATCTGTCGGTGCCCTTAGAAAATAGTGTCAGAGAGTGTACAAGAGATGACGCTGTTGCACCAATTTATCGTGCTTTTTTCCTCGGTAGAGATTTCACGACAGAGATTCTTCAGTTATTATCGTCATTGATTATCTTCGTATATAAAAATATATCTCTGCTGAGTTATATCATTTTAAGCACTTGTGCTTGAGTAATATATTTTGATTGTTTAATCAAACTCGGTAATAGTGTGTCTTCTTTCTGCAGTTAAGTTAAATACGCTAGTATGTGTATTTAGCACAAAATTATTTTCGAGCATTTTTCCGTTGCCATAAAAAATATTATAATTAAGTTATTTCCTTTTATAAATTAAACGTAAAATATTTCATTTATTCGAGTCTATTATTCCGGTATATAGAATATTATATTTATATTGAGTAAGAGATTACATATGTTATCCTTTGTATACATTAACTATTTATCAAGTCACAATCTAAATGCGTTATAGGAATTTAGATCTAGAATCATATTGTGATATGATTTAATAAGAAGAATTAAATATGTCCATCTGTATCTGTGTATTTTGTTCGTATGTTTATTTTATATAATGTCATATTATATAATGTTTACGTAATGTCAATTATATTGTAAAATTATAATTAATTAAGATATTAATATATTTCGAAATTATCGAATTCTTTTATACGCGTATTTCTACCAAATAATTTACAAACGAAAGCAGTGACAATATTTTGGTATTTGATTTTGAAATACTTCGTGTGTTTACACGTATCTCTTAAGCTTTTTTTACATGTGCATATTTATAATTAATGATAAAGTTACGCCGACAGAATTTTCTCGGATATATAACAATGAAGTGAAAAAAATGTCTAACAGGTATGTAATTTACAACAGGTACTTGCTTAATTTGTCGTACGTATGCGGTATCCGTTTTCCATCTCCACGAGGAAAAGCGTTTTATGCACAGCGCTCCAAATACTGCAGCCATTTTATATAGATTGCAATGTATTGATCGTCTCCGCGAACTGCCGACATTGTACGTAGTATCAGAATGACAGGCTGGCAGATGGAATCGCAACTTCCCTTTCCCCTCATCCTCGCCCACCACCTGCCATCACGATCCAACCCCCTTCAATGCTTTGGACTGCCTGCCAACCCCTCGTCTCCGCCTATGCTTTTATATACATACATACACACACACACACACACACATACACATACACATACACACATCGCGATTTGTATATAGCTACCTTTGTATATATCTCTCTACTCCTTTCTGAACATATTTTTAATTAAATGGCGCAATCACGCTATATATGGGCATTTGGATCAAACCATTTTATAAAGAATTTCCAACGTCATTACATTTACAAAAATTGTTGTTATATTTTGTCTCTGAAACTTATAAAATAACTTTTGTAAATTGTATATCGGTTACAATACGATATCGAGAGAGTTACGAAACGGAACTATGAAACTTTGATGCTCTCGTTAGATCTAATCTTTCGGAACTTTTTTTTTATCAAATTACAATCTCATTCCCCTAAAAATTTCTATCACGCAGGAGACACACGATAGATTACCTCGGTAAAGCCATGATAACGTGTTCACGTTTGCATCCACTTTACTTTGACAAATGATCATCTTTTGCGCTTCCCTTGCGTCTGTCAAAACACGTTTTACAGTTCAATATTGTCGTTCGCATAAGAGTTTCTGCAATTACACAATAAAATCTTTAATGATAACAAAAAAGACGAAAGTTAGCAGGAAATAAATTGATCTGTTGTTTATTTGATGCGTTAACATCGTAAATGTGAGTAAAAGCAGAAATAAGAAGTTTGATAAAAAATTGGAAAAAGATACAAAGATTAAGAAGTCAAGAGTGAAAAAAATAAGAGAGCAAAGCGGAGCGTCTCTTGCTAGTGTAAGATAAGGTAGACCCTTCATCCGCAAAAGTGCCCCGCGGGAGCTGCGTCAACGTCCTACAGAAGAAGCTGAACCCATTTCGTTCTCTGACCCACCACAGCCTTTCAAGTTACGTGAAACCTCTTCACGGATCTTCACGAATGGACAGGATCACAACGGCAATGAGTTCTCTGGCTGGACGTCACTCAAGTTTCAACTCTTTCCTCTATTCGTCCTTCCTGTTGTGATTTATGGTTTCATTAATGTAGCTTGTAACGCTTTTCTGGCCGAGACTAGGTAAAATGTTGACTAACCTTGTTATTTCTGTTTGAATAGCAAAACAGACACGTGAGACGTGATTACATCGAGCTACTGTTATTTTTTAGCTATGTGTTGGAGTTTTCCAGATGACTTTTCCAAAATCGAATGTGATTTACAGGTATTTCCTAAATTTATGATTTTACGTTAGATGCTTTGCTTGTGATGAACAAAATGTTAAAAATTTTCAAAATGCGATTACCTTAGTTTTGCGATGCATGATTATATTATTAACAATCATAAAAATGACTAATGTTATTTGATTGATTAATGAAATTCGTTAACGACACATTGAGGTAATATATTGCGTATAAAGCGGATAGCGAATCGGAGAAGGTTTCAAATTCACCTTAATGACATCAACTTAATCATATTTAAGCTCTTACACTGCACTCCTCTTACACTAGGGTTAAGATTTAATCTGTTGACGTCAATTAGATGATTGCAGAAACTTCGATCAAAATAAAAATGTATATAACCAAAGGATAATAAGAGAGAGTATTATATTTTTAACTTTTTATATATGCATAACGGTTTTTAATAATGGTTGAAACATTGAAACATTCCGATTTATAATTTATATTTACGTGCATATTATTAATATATTATTAATATATGCACATTAGATCTCTCGGCATTTGACTTTTATTATTCTCTGTTTTATTTCATAAAGATTCTAATTGCATTCAACTCGCTACACAATATGGACGTATTAAGAATTTCGTAAAAGCTCATATTTTACTAGGTATCAATTGCTGTATGCTACGTAACGCAGCAATCACGGAGAGCAATTCAATTTACGCAGAATGAAATGGTATCGATTCTTTTATGGTAACTCCAATTTCAGATTCGAATTTCTCGAGAGTTCCAAATACGGATCGGCTGTCGTGTCGAAGTATACAAAAGGAAATCGACTGGCTACCAGATTATTATTCCAGGCACGCCATTTGAACGTCCGTTCCTTCTAAAACATTCCACGATACGATAGGTAGTGCCAGTCGAAGACAACGCTTCTTTCCGAACGTGCAAGTGCGACGCGAATGAGATACGTTTGTGCAACACAAATCTAAAAGGTATTTACCTTTTCACTAAAGTTCCTCTATTGGATTCCAATATGTCTGCCATTTGAATATTATATTTTAGTTTTAATTTTTTTAGCTGTATGAGTTAGTATATTTACACACATTGTGTTAGCTGATATTCGCTCTATGGATTAATTTAATTTTTTTATTACAATACACAGGTTACACAGTATTTTTCATATCGTATATATTCCGGTCGTACGAGTGTACGTGTTATGTTTCATAAACTCTTATTGTCGGATTTATATCCATCAATATATTACCTCTCTTTTGTCGCGCTGAACCAAGCGGTCTTTTATGGCAATGACCTCTAGTGAATTAATCAATAAATACGTAGCTACTGCGTGAACTGTATTACGGTTTGCCTGTAAACGCAGACGTACCGCCCGATGACCGAACATGTTTTCAATACTTTACGCGTTAATTTAACGTTTTATCAAACATTTATGCCACTTAATTAATGCTAAAGAGTAACGTGTAAATGTGGAAAAAATTGACTGCGGCACATTCATTATTTCGCGTAATGGGGATTAAGTTATCACTCGGGGAATGAAAGATATTAATACCATTATTAATTGCGATACGTGAATTATGCGATGCGCGAATTACGTCACGCACTTATTATCGCTAATACTAAGCTATAATTAATCTCTGTCCAGGTATTTAGTCGGCGAGATGAAGTGTAAACTGGTTGTGTTCGGCGAAGACCTGCTAAAAGGAAGTCTGAAATGATCAGGATGTACAGAGAACATCACATAGTACTGTTAGTCATATATCCACACTGCGGCCTTACCCGCTGATGAAACACAGGCAAACTCTAGGAAGACATATTGCGTGTAAGTAGAGAATGACAAGAGGAAACGTAGTTGAATGGCGTATGACACGGGGATGATGTTACGGAGAGACGAATGGCGTGCTTGCGATTTATTGAGTTGGATCCCTGGCTATCCTCCGTCGCTCTTTTATTTTGTAACGTACAGCAATGATGCATGCAGCCATGCAGCAATAATGTCTACCCTTTCTAGACCTATCTCAGACTTTTCTAAATATTATGTTCCGGAGATTAAGAATTTCTTTTAATTAGTCAGATCAGACAATTCATTTGTGCGTTACTTTAAGCTGAGCTCATGCTTACTTCCTTATCTTTATCCAACTTCTGCAAGTGATATTATTGGCGAGATATACGTACAGCAGCTCATCGCTATCCGCTTGTCTGTCTTCATCTTATCGTGATTCGCCTCCCTCGCTATTTTAAACGTTCCCTCGCGAACTTCGTATCCTTTTTCCTTCTTACTTAACTTTTTCTATCTGTTGTACATGCATACAAGGCTAACTTCACCGTTTCCCTCCGTGTCCTTAAGCCTCGACGAAGGCACGCTCCACGGCATAACCCTCATCCTCCACTGTAGACACGTTCTCTCTCCATTCTTCGTTTCTCTCTGGTGTTAGCCTCCGCAGCTTCAGGAGCGGAGAGGCGATCAATACGTCGCTCTAGAACGGAGAAGGAACGGAAGCTACGTCATTGGGAGACTTTGGTGCTTGTGGGGAGCGGAAAGGGGTCGAGGTAAAGGGACCTTTTCCAGGCGATTCCTCGAGAGGCAGAGGAGAGGAGACCAGGCCTGGCTCAGACCAGATATGCCCAGCTATGAGCGCGAAAAGATGATGAGACGAAGGGTGGTCCCTGGATTTTGCATCTCTCTTTCTCCAGAAGGGTAGTTGACAGGGACTCCAAACCGAGACTGCACGACTCGAACCGAGCGTCAACGAGAGCAGGGGCGGATGTGTAATCGGTCCTTTCTAACACTGATAAATTTGCAGTAAATACTCTCTATTTTGCTGTTCTATATTAATGAATGTCTAAGGAACATTCAAAGATCGCCATACAACGTGAATATCTCTAGTTCATCAGTTCTATTCGCACTGAAACTGTTGCTCGTTTCGACTTATATCAGTTGTATCATATCTAGATACTTACTTTAAACAATTCAAAATAATGTTTCATAAAGGACACGATTCTTTGAAACATGGATTGATAAATGGGAAAAATACTTGGACATCACCCGTGAATGAATTTATAGTTAGTACCAATGATCCGTACCTGGAGACTTAAAGATATAATAACAGGTGTTACAAAGACGCAGTGTATATGTCACATCACGTATACTTTATTACACAAAATTGTCTCTTTTTAAATCATCGATAATTCTTGATGTTATCATGATTCATGTATATTTTATTGCTGGAAATTACGGTATGGAAAGGGTTTATCGATTCGTCGTGTGAATGACGGATCACCGGGCAATCAGTTTTTGACTACATTCAGTAGATTTGACGGAGGTAAATCTACGTACAAACGTGAATTTATCTTGCACGCTTGTTGCTAACAAAAACTTTCCTAAGGGAAGAAAGGATATTTGTCGCAATAACGATACAAACTTTACTTTACTGATACCTTACTGACTTTACGTTACTGAAATTAAATAACTGTGTTATTGAAATTAAATAACTGTATTACTGAAATTAAACAATCTGTCAGCAAATTTAACAAGAGCATAAGATATATCTCGACTACAAAGAAATTTGACTGTAAAGGTCTATACGAGGGGTGGTGTCTGTGTTTTATTAATAATGACAGCACGATCGATTGGAAGAAACGTTTCTTGTCCACGGATAAAATCTGAAATTGCGATGTATCGAGCTGTGGAGGTGCTATGCGAATCTACGGTCCTGTGCTATGGCATCCTTTGTACGGGAGTGAGGGTGCGCGCGGTCCAATCATCGCAGAATCCGGGGGAAGCCCCTGGCTTCACCCGGGCAGCCGTGGGAGAGACGCCCCGCGACTCGAGGATTCGCTTGTCGCCGAATACCTTCTCTACTCGAGTCAAAAAGGACAGTCGACGTTATACAGCGTTTCGTTAGAGGGGCGTTGGCCCATTCTTTTATCCTGTGTTTCGCTCCAAATCATCGAGAAAACCTCGTCAGCATCTCGTCTACACAGCCGATGATCTCGACTACCACGCGAGCCTCAAGTGACAAACCCAAATCGACCTCGGCTGACCTCGATGACAGATCGAATGTGAAATAATACCCAAAACTACTGGCACCTGTAGTGTCTTCCGAACGGATCGAGTGTTTCTCTTCATGCACGAATTTGTATAGTTTGTTAAAGATAATTATTTCGTACGATTCCGCCAACAGTGGGCGTGTTAATGTGGGATTAAATGTGCATGAATGTGAGTCTGTTGCTCGTTGAAGTATGTTTTGCATGAACTTTCGGTGTCATATTGTTGTATAATATTTTATAATTAATGGTATAATATGTTGCGATATGTGGCTCATTATTATTATACGTCGGCACGACGAGTTATTTGCTTGAGAAGTATCCCTGAGAATTATTTTGGCATGACCGTTTCTAATCTAAGTTCTTCAATGTACGCAAAATATATCAGTTGTATACAAAATACAGCATATACAATAAAACCACGTGTATATATACGCATATTTATGTACATACGCTGATACACACACATATAGTTTTATCTTTCACCTATTCGTATCTCAAGCATGTCTATCTTCCATTATTTTTAATAGCATGACAGATGATGGTTTTTGCACTGCATAACAGTGTTTTCTTTCATAAACATGGCATAAAAATTTAATTTTTTTTTAAATTATCATGTATTCTAATAATAATAGCAGATCAAGAGTAAAACCCCGCTTGTTTCATTTGTATTTGTTACATCGTATATTTATATATTTGTATTTATACAATTCAGTTTTCGTATTTACAGCAGAAAGAACCGTTAATTAATCAAATTGTTATTGACCTCATATATCATGAAAGTATATCTCAACGCCTTTCATAAATTGTTTCCAATTTTCTTTTATTTTTAACATTGTAACTAATAGATTTCACATGATATATTTTTAAATTATGTTATATTGATATTGGCACACAATAAATATAAATATTATAATTTTAATTCGTCTACATTACTTAAAGAGGATATGAGATATTGGCCCTCAAAATATTTATATTAATATGAAATATATACCAAGACATAATAACAGGTGAGTGTTTCAAATAATAAATAGTTCAAGGCACATATTTGTACTGTATTACTTAAAAAATAATATTTTTTGTTCTACACATTTTAAAATTTCTTTAATTTATTGACTTGAAATTAGCTTAAAAAATAACAACTAGTAATATTCAATGACTAGACGTAATTCGTGACTTTTAATTTGGCATATTACTGCTGTGCGAAGAAAATCACAAAGTTGTGCTAAATCAAAATTGCAGGAAGGCATAATCGCGTCAGATACTCTTTATTATAATTCACGGCTTCCTTCAACCGTACTCCGGATATGCATGCCCGGTCACGTTCTGTTTTAGCGGGGTTTTTCCGGTGTCACGTACGACGGCGCAGCTGCAGCTGGACTCTTAATCTGCCATAGCTTTAAATAGTCATGTCCGTTACTTCTTAATAGCAAATCGCATTTTAATTTCAAATTTTTCTATTTATTGAATATTTTTTATTACCGAATATATATTAAATTTGTTAAACTATATTGCGAAATTATTACTCTCACTGTTATATGAGTTCTATAATTATAGGACTCCGCATCAAATGTTCGTAAACATATGTAAAACAGAATTGTATACAAAATTTAAATTGTAAACATGTTGGCTAAAGCAATAAGAACAAACATTATAAAGTGAAATTTTGTTACAGATTGTTGCTAAATGGGAACAGCAAGGAATGGTTGCAAAGAATAGGCACATTCGTGATCTACCCTGTAGATCCGGGCTTTTGTAGAATTGTAAATATCAGAAGCTCGACTCTACAGGTATCTTACGGATGACATGCCACGCGACTCTAGATTGCAACGTGTGACGTCATATTTGTTTATATATATTGTTTATATACTGTGTTAACTATAGACTTGTACAAACAGACTGAACACTTCCACAAGCAGCCATGAAGACTTGATTAGAAAGGAATGACCTGCGCCGTACAAGCAATCTATCATTGTCTAGTGTGATTTCTATTGGAGAAATCTAACGGAGAGGGGAGACATGGCGGGAAATTTTATATGTTTATTTTTAGCAATTTTAATTTGACAAGATTTTGTTTAAGAAATTTGCTAAATAATTGATCACTCTGTTTTACTTGAAAATATGTTAAATTTTTTGCGAGAAATGTATAAAAAGCCATTGTTTGGGGATATTATATCTGCAGATAAAAATATATTTTTTCCATAGTTATGGTTTTTTGTTATATATGGTAACGAATTTTTAATAAAATGCTTTCTTTTTCTCTTTTTCAGTACGATGGAGATAGCACAATAATGAATGATTGGAGAAAACTATAGCTGTTCTTCAACATTTGTTATTTTCAAAATTTATAAGAAGGCGCAGTCCATACGTATAAGTCTATGACATAAATTATTCAAGAACATGCTAGTTAAATTCCATTTTGACTCTATTAATATTTTAAGAATTATATATAGAAAATAAACATAATAAACAATGTATATCATAAACAAAATTATATCGTAATTTCTGTCATATTTTATAGAAATTAACTACATTTACTATAAATATTGTAATAATAACTATATCATCATATATAAATTAGCTTAAAAATAATTTGTACATAATATTAAAGTATAAACAATGTACGAAAACATAAATAAGGGTAGCAGTAATTATTTATTTATTCAAAGATTTTTTTTTATTGAACACTATTTATCATATGCAAATAGGATATAGATTCTTTTAGCAAGAAGTCAGAAATTTAGCGACTTAAAGGTAATCGAATTGTTAAAGAGTTTTATTATATTATTTACTATTTGAAATTATATATATTTTAAATTGAAATTATATATATTTTAAAGCGTATTATATTGATTAAGATAGGAGATAGTATGAGAATTAGGTTATGTTAGATATGATTAGTTTAGTTTAGATTAGATTAGGAGTTTAGTAATTAAGAAAATATTCTGAGACGTTATTATATTATTTATTTTGCGGATTCGGCAACATGAAGCTTATTATATTATGATTATGATGTTATTTGTCAATAACATCATAATTATCAATTTTAAACTGTTGAGAAGACAAAACATTTCTACAAATTTTATTGGTCATTGTACCGGTATTAAATTAGAGTTTATTGAGCCGTTTACTTCTATAGCATTTTTGACTCATTATAAATTAAATAGTGTTTACAATATTTAATATGAACTTTATAGCTACCTCGTATTTATTGTTTATTTTTTGAGGTTATTTCGATTTATTATGTCATATTATATAGCTTTACAAGTCTATAGCAGTACGTTAAAATTATAAATAAGTAAAGAAAATTATCATTTCTTGTATTTTAATGGAAGAATTTTTGCATTTAAAATCATCAATTATAAAAACAAATTATTTTGACAAAAAGATTTAATTTTACATACGTGTCTATATGCGTATGTATTGTTTGATTATATCTTTATTATACATATTATTTTTTCTTAATTTAATTTAATCAACATCAAAATTATATTTTATCATGGTATTGATTTTAATAATTATTACATAGCACATGAACATACATCTATATAAGCAATTCTTTTTATGTTAATATTGTGAAATAGTTAACAAGCAAGAAATAAGATTTAAAAGAGAAATTAAATATAATCTTATTGTGTCCAACATAATATATTTATTTAAAGAAACATAATTTTTATTTTGTAGATACAACTAATGAATGTGTGTGTG